ACTTCGAAGGTTTCGACACTTTAGGTTCTGGTACTGTTTATGAAGAGAACAATTTTAATCTCCTATCAGGGGGAGATGAATTAAGCTTCGGCAGTGCACAGTTCGATAGCGATATTGAAGTTGACTTGACTCCGAGAAAAACGTCGACGCCAGAAAGACCGCCGACATTGAAGCGACGTCGTATAAGTCAGCCTATACAGAACCCTCTCAGAGTTCTAAGTAAAGAATGCTGCGAAGAAAAATGCCTCGATAGTTTATCGAAAAATGATGTTATCTCGTCCGAACGTTGCTTCAAAATGTTGCCATCTGAAACCAGTCAGTCACAGTTCATTTTAGATACAATCCGGGAACATTCATTCACAAAGACCGTGAAAGATAAAGTGGTGGTTGAAACAAATCTTATTTTAAAAGGGAAGCGCGTTTGTCCGAAATCTTGGCAGATAGTTCACAACGTCACCGAAGATCGTTGGAAGAGCTGTAAAGACAAGTTTATTCAAGGTATGTTTCTTTCAACCAGATAAAAAATTACTTTAAAATTGAATGTGTATTCTGTATTTTCAGTTTTTTTTTTCTACTTTTTCAATTATACTATCGCCCTAGGAACATGTTATGATTTATTTTGATAGCTTCTTAATCCTCACTAAATCTAAGATAATCCATAAGAAGGTGAAATATAACTCAAGTGATTTTTTTTTAATTTTCTTTGTTATCAACAGTTTATTTGGTGTTCAAGTTATAGACTTGCAACTTTTCACTTCTTGATCACACATCATGAATGATCTCTGTATATGAATTATGATACGGATCATAATGCTAGCATTTTTAGAAACAATCTTAAAATAATTTACTATGAACAAATTTGGTTACCAACTCTATCCAAAAGGGAACATAATAAACTACGTATTTACAATAAATACATTATGAATTTGAACCATATCTGAATAAAATTAATAATTTAAATCACAGAGTAAGTGTAACCAAATTTAGAATTTCAGCATATAAATTACCAATTGAAAAATTAAGATACCAAAAAATACCTTCAGAGCAAAGATTTTGCACATTGTGTTCTGGTCAGTCTATTAGTGATGAAATGCATGCTCTTTTTGACTGCAAACTGGATGAAACTGTAAAGGCATGTAGCTACTTTTAGAATACTCATACAATGATAATATTTTAAAATTACTGAAAGAAGATATGTTTGTGCATAATATGGGATTAAGACAGTTTCATTGCCAATAGTCTAGGAAAGTTTATCAACATAATTTTACAATGTAATACCTTATAATTGTTAGTGTTATTCGTTTTAACATTTTATTTTTTATATCCGCATTTTGTGTTATTGTGTTTTTTTGTGTATGATTATTGACCATGGTTAATGTATTTCCAGTTCATTAATTTGGGTCAAATAAAATACTAGTAAACTATACTATTACTATCACCTTAGCACATGTTAAGTGGTCATGCATGTTTTCATGAGATACATTTGATTATCTACCGGGAGTTACAGCAAAAACTTTGATTTCACAAAACTTGTTGGTAAAATCATGGAACTGAAAAAAAACAAAAAAAACAGGAAGGACAATGTCTGTTCACCCACTGTTTTTTGTTTTTTTTTTTTTTTAGTTTCATAGTAAAATCTAGGAAAGACTAAGTTCTTGTTTATTTGGCCACAAGCTACACACCTATTGCATTAAGACCAAACATAAACAAACTCAACTCCCTATAGTCTTTCTTGTGCCTGAACACAACTGTGAGTAGGTGATACACAAACATGTGGGATTATCTGTAATCTTAATTCTTACTATAGTGTAGCCTGAATACCACTATTGTTATTGTAATTTAAAGATACATTTGTAACTTTATACTTCATACATAAACTTGAGTTTGATCAAATTTTTTTGTCAATGAGTAAAATCAACTAAATTAAATCTATATGAATGTGTGTAAAATAACAATGAACTTATTGTTTTGCTTGTAAATTTGTGAACCCTGAAAACCTGCTGGAAAATATTAAAATGACGAAAATAAATTGTATCTCAGTATAACTCACACATGCCTTGTACAAAGTAGTAAACTTCAGACATTGAAAGTACTAACTTGAGGTAATTCTGATTTGTAGAGATGCACTAAAAATAAGCATTTAGACAAATAAATGTGAACTCTTGTGGTCTGTTTTTTTCTTTTTCTTTTTCTATCATACAATTATAACAATTCTAACTAATCTACCATTAACAATGACTTGTTCAATTAGTATTTTATTGTTATTATTGTTTAGGTATCATAACAATAACACACAAAAATTGTGGAAGAACTGGATCCAGGGATAAGACAACTGCAGCAATTGGATGGATGCGCTTCTTATTTGAACGCATTGGTGACTATATGCCGCACAATTCTGAAATTCATTTGCCCTGCTGCTATTCCAAAACTTCATTACATGCAAGAATGAGAAATGAATTTCTAGCTCGAGGCATTTCAGAAAATGGTATCATATGTTATGATCATTTTACTAGAGTATGGAAAATGCACCTTCCTGAGTTTAAGATCTGTAAGGTATGTTCCCGTTTGTTTGAATTAACAAATTTCAGTTCATATTCAAAGTCAGTGTTACCAAACTCATTTTGCATCCTGGGTACTCGGCTCCAAAATCTTGTGTATTATTGGGATGGGCATTCACCATGTGACAGATTTAGGGGAATATTAATTTTCAGGAAAATAAAATTGCAAAATTACTTCCATTGTCATTGATTTCCACATCACTTTTACAATGAAGAAACAAATCATCACAAATAATATGCACATTTTACATTGTGTTTACAAATTGCCAAAATTTAAAATTATTTGTGCCTGTTGGAAAACATCAAAGTCATTATCATTATCTTCACTGTTGAATCATACACAAACTCTTGATGCAAATACCTTTTTTTGGTGATTTTTAATTTTTCAGAAAAGTGGATTTGCAAAATGTACAATATGTACTAACCTTAAGGAATTGTATGAAAAAGCTACTACTAATTTTGAAAGAGAAAAGATTAATGGTCTTCTGAAACTTCATATGGACCAAGTAGAGTAAGTATTATTCCCTCCTAGTGATAGATTTATTGCTGTAAATTTCCCTGTGAATTGCAATTTGTAGTTAATCAATGTATCTTACCTGTAGTAGTATTTAGTGTGTTATTGGTATTTAGCACCCATTTCATGTTTGGCCCTTTTTTTAAAACTTTGTCTCATTTCCAATGGCATTGCTTTTCATCAGTCACATAAAGGCCCAATTCACTTGCCCCGGGCAAGTGTGAATTGGAGGTGGGGCTATGCTAATGAATGTTGTTAATAACTTGCATAGCCTATGACGCATCCTGTTTCAGTGGTTCAACATCACGTGACTTTGATTGACAGTAGTTAATTATTCAAGATTAGTAGCACGTCCCTTTCCCCGGTTCGAGTTTTTGACTTTTATCCGCCAAAATCTCAGCTTGTACACTATTTATTGTCATAATTACTACACACAGTCACTGCTGTGATATTCATAGTCGCATACATCCACTTTGACATGGCATGGCATTGTAAAATTTTAGAGATTACAGGAAGTGTTTCAGTAAGGAATTGTTATACTTATCAAAATCCTTTTTTGGAACAGAACATGTTATATATTCACCAAAAACAATGTTGCCATGTTTCTATGCATACAACGAATCGAAACAAAAGAAATCGTCTGATCCAAACGATCTGTGTCCTCGAGAATCTAGTCTTATCGCCTTTGCCTTTCGAGCGAAAAAGGGTGGAGGCCAAAATTAGGATAGGTTATTTGTTAGAGGCACCAGCAAAACCAAAATTTGGAAAGTGATTCCCCCCGGCGGCGAAAAATCAGTGATACCTGTAATAACCACAGTCCCTGTGTAATAACCAAAGGGTGATTGACTATTTACCAAATCCAAAATTTAGCGTGAATACCTTTCCAAGCGAAAAATGTATAACAAAAATTAAAAAGAAACATTTTAGTATAAGGTAGTAATAAGGCAAATAAATGAAGATAAAAATAATATTTTGTTAGCAATTTTTTGCGCTTACAAGTCGGCGGGCGTGAGGAATTACACTGAAATAAAATTTTATTTTTATTTCATTTTCGACTCCTGTTCATTCGGCGGGTTCGCGAAACAAAGGATAATAAAAGTCTGACCTAATATTGTTTTTAGTGTATATTTGTTGGTAATTATAATATTAACAGATAATTCATGTTGTATCAGATTGATTCTATAATGAACTAAGCTTTGTTATTGCAATGCATATCCTATGTTTTTTTTTATACATATATAATAAAGAAAAGAACGAAAGCGATACCATTACCACAGAGAAAAGGCTGAAAAGGAACCAGAAGAATTGTTAACCATAATTATTGATGGCATGGACCAAAATAAGACTGACTTGCCTCATTTGATGACTGAAGACAAAGCTACTTCCAATCTGTTAAAGCTAAGAACGCATATTACAGGTGAGTTAGTTTTAAGCGTCTGTCAGCCCGTATAACATATTCAGAATATAGCTTGCCACATTTTTACACAGTAATTTTGCTGCTTTAGGTAGTTACTATTAGCTATCAGAATAGCAGCCATCAATGTTGTATATTAACATTATCGCTAATAATGCTATTTTCTGTAGTACATAACTTTTAATTTCTTTCTGTGCTGTATAGTAAATGCTGCAGCTGACTAATACTGTACTCGACCTGCTTAGCACTCTTGCTTGGCTAATCACCCCCCCTCCCCACTTGTGGAATATTTCTATGTTTGGTTTCACATTCAGCTAAGCGTTCAACCCACCAAAATGCCCTAAATTTGACTTTTTATTTATAGAACCTGGTTTTTGATCACTGTTTG